GAGATCTGAGGATCACAGTGCAAAGCCATTGGGCTGGAAAGTCCGTGAGATTCTTATCTCCAATTAGCCACCAGAAAACTGGAAGTGGTGCTGTGGTTCAAGCAGCAAAGCACTCACCTTGAGCTGAAGAACTGAGGGACAGCGCCCAGGCTGTGTGGCACTAGAGAGAGAACAGAGGAATGGATAGAACAGAATAGTGAATCCCCCAAAAACAGACTCGTGAAAATAACTGATCACTGACAAAAGCAGCAAAGACAATGTAGTAGAGAAAGTAGTCTTTCCAACAGGTGGTTGTGGGACTACTGAACATCCACCTGCAACATAAGATGTCTAGACACATCTTCTGCAAAATAAAATAAACATGCCAAACTGAAACTTCTACAAGATAAAAAGAGAAAATCTAGGTATTATTATTTCTTGGTTGGTTCGTTTTTTAATATATATATTTATTGTAAAGATACTGTACAGAGGGGTTACAGTTACATGAGTAAGGTAATGAGTAAATTTCCTATTGAGTATTGTTACCCCCTCCTTTGTTTTTTTCAAGTCTTTTTATAATTATTTTTAAATATTTTTATTGTAAAGGTACTGTACAGAGGGGTTACAGTCGCATGAGTAAGGTAATGATTGCATTTCCTATTGAGCTTTGTTACCCCTCCTTTTTCCCCCTTCTATCTCTTCCTTCCCAACTTCCCCAACTCCTCCCCGCCCCCCCCCCTCTGGCCCCAAGTTGTAAAGTTCCTTTACAACATAGTGTCTTGTACATCTCATTGTTACAATGGGTCAACCTGTATCCTTGTCAACATTTTGTTATTTCCCTTCCCCTCCCCAAATGAGAAAAAATGTATATAGAAGATACGCTGCACCAGAATCAATATACCAGTTCCTGGTTTTGAACTCAGGGCCTGGGTGTTTTCCCATAGTTTTATTTCTTTTTTTGGGGGCCCCCTCCTTTGTTTTTCCCCTACCATCCCTTCCCTCCCCACCTTCCCAACTCCTCCCCAGCCATCCCAATCCCCCCTTTCCCTGTGCCTGAAGTTGTAAAGTTCTTTTTCAACATAGTGTCTTGTACATCTCATTGTTACAGCAGGTCAAGGTTCATTCGTTTTTAAGACACAACATCAAAAGCATCATCCATTAACAAAAATGTTTATGATAGAGTAATGACAATTAATAACTTCCGTTCTTTGATAGACAATTATGTTAAGAAGATGAAAAGACCCAGCATATACTGGGGGGGGGGAAGGATATATTTTCAAAATACATGTCTGCTTAAGGACCATTCAAAACACAAAAGGCCTCTTCAGATTCAATAACAAGAAACCAAACAAATTAAAAGAAAGCCCAAAGAAAGAACATTAATACCTAGGAAGGCACAAGACCAAAATAAGCAAATGAAAAGATTCTCAACACCATGTGATTACCGAATTGTCAATGGGGACAACTCCAAACACCACAGCACATCTATTGGAATGTCTAAAATCTAAGACACTAACAACAACACTGCTGGTGAGTATGAAGGATTGAAGGACCACTGGGAAGGCAAAATCGGAACCACTACTTCAAAAGACCCTTGGCAGATTCTTGCAAAGCTAAGACAGAATTTCCCTAGAATCCAGTGGTTATGCACCTAGATTTTTACCCAAATTGAGTCAGAAATTTATATCACACAAAACTTGGAAATGAATATTTATAGCCACTTTATTTACAATTGCCCAAACTTTAAAACAATCAAGATTTTCCTCAATAGATGGATAATGAACTGACTGTGGGTGACCGCCATCCTTGCAAAGGAATATTAGCAAGGAAATATTAGTGATAAAAAGAAATTACAGGATGAGGAGGGAAGCTTATTGCTAGAGCACTTGCCCAGTGCAAGCACCCTAGGTTTAATTTCCAAAATGTGAAAAGACTAGGAGAAATCTTTTGTTACTGTAGTTTTTGTTTTTGTTTTGATGGCACTGGGGTTTAAAGTCATAGCTTCATATTTGGTATGTAAGCTCTACCACTTACGCTACACTACCTGGTTCCTGGCTAGATATAGAAGCCTATGATGATGGTGATGATGATGATGATGATGATGATGATGATGATGATGATGATGATGATGATTGTTGTTGTTAGTCCTGGGGCTTGAACTCAGAGCCTGGGCACTATTCCTGAGATCTTTTTACTCAAGGATAGTGCTCTACTACTTTGAACCGCAGTGCCACTTCTGATTTTCTGTTGGTTAACTGGAAATAAGAGTCTCATGGACTTCTTGCTGCCCAGGCTGGCTTTGAACCATGATCTTTAGATCTCAGCCTCCTGAGTAGTTAGGATTATAGGGGTGAGCTGCCAGCACCCAACTTATATACATGCCCTTTAAATCTTTGCTATGCATAGACTTGCATATTTCTATGAAGTCAAAACATTGAAATTTGGTGCAAATATGATTAGAATCTAATACAACAAAATTATTATTTGGAAATCTAAGTATTGGCCACAGTGAATATTTTAATTATTTTTAAATGAAATATGCAGTGTGCTTTTTTATTTGGGCTTACATTTTGAATTTCCCTTCATTTCATATTTAGTGAACTGATTCATTACAAGAACAGTGATTTGCTTTTTCTAAAAATAAATGTTTTTAGTTCTAATTTTTTGATTTATGGGATATTATTGCCACCTGCTGGTTATATTGTTTAATTTTTTAAAATTACTGTTTACTAAAATTCAAAGGGATATATATATATATACATATATATATATACATGTATATATATATGTATATAATATATATATATATATATCACTGGATCCAAAATCTTCATGCTAGAAAAATTATTTGCTGAATCATTTCCATTTTAAGAAGTTAACAACAAAAATAAAAATATGTTAGATTATATAATTATGTTGTGTTATTTTTGTCATTTCATTGTAGAATGAAATATCAGACCTTCTGGTTTAAGTCACTATTTTTAGTTAGAATATAGCTAAATGTCACTCAAATGCTGCTCTAAATAATGAAATCAAAACAAGGAAGCATCTAAAAAGACAATCACATTTGTGGTTCTGTTCCCCTGTGAATAGAATCAAATAATCAAATGTTGGTTTCCTTCATGCACAGATCTATTCTGCTTAAGAACAGAACATAAGTGATTTAGGCAATTGCCTCAGTTTTCTCAATTAACTCATGAACCTGGAGTGGAATTATTGTTTAACAACAAAAATCAGCATATAATTTTCAACAGAGTATGTAGGTGAACTAAATATAATTGTAGAAACATCTAAAATATAGCTATATCAGAGCCTAGTAAAATACTCCATAGAGCCCGGCACTGGTGGCTCATACCTATAATCCTAGTTACTCAAGAGGCTGAGAGTTGACAATTGTGGTTTAAAGGCAGCCTGGACAGGAAAGGCTTTAAGACTCTTCTAATTAATTACTGAAAAAGCTGGAATTGATCCTGTGGCTCAAGAAGTAGAGTGCTATCCTTGAGCAAAAAAAAGCCTCAGGATCAGTGCCCAAGCCCAGAGTTCAAGCCCCAGGACTGACCTCCCCTGCCAAAAAAAGTCCATAGAACATTATTGCTTAATGCATTATTCCATTCAGTTATGGCAGGTGCAACATCACTCATTTTTCAGATGAGAAAATACTTTTCAGAGCAGCTAAATAGTTAGGGGTGTACTAGCTCATTCCACTGCTTAGCTTGTTATGCACAAGACTTAGAACAGCTGCTGACACACAATTACCCCTTTCGTGTTTACTATATGTCTGATTAAAAAGTATATATCTGCTTCCTTTTACTTTGATATCATGTCATGACTATTTCCATGTGTCATTGAATATTCATTTAAATCGATGTTGTGTCTGTGTCCATAATTATGCACTGAATGGATCTTGTAGAATTTCCATGCTTTCTGTTGAGGTCACTGTGGATGCTTCACTGATAAAAGTAACAGCACAGTAAATACTCATATCACAGACTGGTTTTGTTTTGTTATGAGTTTTTTTGAATGATTAAATGACTAAATTTGTGCTTTGAAGGGCTAGACCACAGGTAAGAACCTGACTCAACAGGAAGTCAGAAAGAAAACAGAAGGAAAAAGAAACAAGTTGTCCCCAAAGAAAAGTATAAGAGGGGCTAGGAAGGTGGCTCATTAGTACAGTGTTTGCCTCACATGCAAGAGGCCCTGGGTTCAATTCCTCAGCACCACTTAAAAAGAAAAAGCCAAAAGTGGTGCTGTGGCTCAAGTGGTAGAGCACTAGCCTTGAGCTGAAGAGCTAGCCTTGAGCTGAAGAGCTCAGGGACAGCGCTCAGGACTAGAGTTCAAGCCCCCACGACCGACAAAAAAAAAGTATAAGAACAAAATTAAATTAGTGATATAGAATTAATTGATACAGAGGTAAAATACTGATATTAAAAATAAGCTGTTTTGTTTCTTGATTTTGTGAATTCAGTAAACAGGAAAAATTTGTCACCTGGGTGTGATGGTGAAATCCTGGGACAAAGGAGCTTGAGGCAGGGGAGCTGGAGTTCAAGGCTGGTCTGGGCTACCTAAGTAGTACCCAGTCTCAAGAAGTAAGTCCAGGGTGAAAATCGGGACGGAGGGCTTCGCAGTGAGTAAGGAGGAGATTGAGGGCCCCGAGGGACCCCGCTGGAATGACCAGAATGGAAGGTCTGTGTTTTGGGGAAACAGACATCACATTCAATGTGCACTTGGGAAAATGGAGCCGGGCAATCACAAGTAGGGTCAGAGGGTGTTGGTGGGGTGTGGGAGGTAACCATCACTGGACTACCCTCACAAGTCCGCACGTTGACTTGAAACCCCTTTGCGCAACTAAAGATAGTAAGGAAAAAAGAAGGTAGATTATTACAGTCCATCAAGCGCACACGAGCCAACCAAGGTGTGACCTGGGGAGGGAAGGGGAGCATTTCTGAATAGAGTTGCATCCTGGAAGCCAACGTGGCCACAGCCACGGTGGTTTTGATGGGGAGCTGGGATTTCGGGGTTCAATGGGGTATAGCAGCTGCGGACTCCGAAGACCCCGTCGGTGCCGGCTACTGGGCACGCCAGGGATGCCCAGGACTCCGAGGCGGCCGCCCCTCCTGATGGCTGGGTGCCATCAAGGCCCCGGAGATGCCGGATGCGCGGTGCCCAACCCTTCCGGGGCTCAGGAATTCCGGGCCGCTCGGGGCTCAGGGTCTGTAGAGCGGATGGAGCAGCGCTGGCCCCCGAGGGGAGACGGTGGCGTCTCCACCCCTGCGTCTGTCTGTCTGTCCGTGGTCGCGGCGGGGGGCACGCGCGGGGCGGGGCGCGCGGGAGGAGCCTCCGCTGGACCACACGCCCGTCCGGAGTTTCGCGGTCGCCGTGACAACCGGGCATCCCGCAACGGCGGCGGGAACGAGTCGTTGAGGACCTCGGAGGGCGTCCACCCGCCGGCACCCAGACGATGCGAAAATGGTGGGGCGGACGCGGAGTAAACCCAGGGGCCCGG